CGTCTTTTAGCTCGATAGTATGGTCTGTTGCTTTCTGAGGCGGTAAGGTCTTGGCATTTTCGGGAGCGAATACGTCGCTGTACGCTAGTAATTCGCTAGGAAGCCCCTCACGTGAAGTGGGGTCTTTTTGGTCATCTCCTGGGAGCCACACTTCCTCAGGAAGTTTCACCACTGCGTATACGTACGCGTGGTTCCGGCATTCTTTCACGAATTGATGGGGGTGGCTATCGAGTATGACGATGCGACATACCACCACTGGCGTTTATATGGCGAAAAGTCGATGTGTTCATCTCGTACAGTTGTCATAGAAAGCAGGACTGGGCTTCCTTCGAGACGAGGATCTCGATCGATAGCTAGGCAGCGCCTCTCGAAGGTACGAGTAGTTCCCCGTGAGTCCGTTGCTGTGATAGGGACTACCCACACCCCGTAAGTAGGTGTTGACCTTCGATTAATAGCTGAGATAATAACGCTAGTGAGCGGTGCACGACGAAGTCCGTATTGCTGAGCGAATTGATGACTGACGATGTCAACCTCAGCTCCGCTATCGAGATCCGCATGCGTTTCGATGTCGCCCCGTACGGTAATTGGGATATAGAGGCGGCATGCGGTCCTAATTGTTTCTTGAGGGGTCGGTGTTCCGGCTTCTACACCGACCCTTTGGCTTTTCCCGAGTGTACTGGTGCTGACTGGACCCTAGTTGAATTCTGGGGGCATTCGTCCTTCCAGTGATCGGTTGAACCGCAAGTGAAACAGCTATATGGTTTTGGTGGAGTTACGCCGTCGGTTCGTTGGCGATCATGCGGCTTTGCGCCGAATTCACGCCGGTTTGAATATGGTTTGATGTTTGGGTTTCGATCACCGCCTCGTCCTCGGAAGTTTCCACGGTTCCATCCTCGGCCCCGACCAGAGTTAGAGGATGGCCCGTTGAAGTTAATCCGTTTTCGATATCCCTGTTGGTCAGGGGAGTGATGTCTTTTGTTTGTTGAGCGAGGGGGTAGTTTTTTGTGCCCGATTCAGTATAGATAAGGTTCCAATAGTGCATCGCTGTCGATACCATCTCGTCTCGATTTTTTGGTAGATGAAGCATAGCGTTTTGGATACGATTTCGGAGACGGAGCTGTAACTTAGTGAAGAAGTTTAACGCCCGTTGATCCTCCGGCGGTGCTTCGAAGTGTCTCTCGAGCGAAAGAAGGTAAGAATTAAAATCGCTCGGACTTTGATTCGGGCCTTGCCGGGCTTCTTGCAAGGAGGTAGCGATATCAGCTTGTAGTGTAGCTGAATTGTGTAGCAACGTAAGAGTCCATTTCTCGAATAGGTCCCACGTCGTTTTGTAAGCGGTTCGCTGGGGTTCCGCTTTTTCTTCAACGTAGTGTCGCCATCTTTCGCGGCAGTCAGAGCTCATGCTATTAGTGGCACCAAGGATCTTTCTTTCGTCCGATCCATATTTACGGGGTGCACCCGCGAACATGTCTTGGAGGTCGTTAAGCCAAGTTTGACGTTGTTGTATACTATAATGTGCTTTGAAAATTGGAACCTCGATTTTGATCTCTCCGGAAGCTCGTCCTCTTTCCGATGACGTAGAGGGAGAACGTCGATAGCGGTCCGACGTCGATTGCTCCGTCATTTGGCCGATCGCTTCCTCGAGTTCTTTCTTTCGAGTAAGCAACGCGTGAAGGGTTTCGAGGCGTTCGACCTCAGCGAGGTGCTCGCTAAGTTGGGGAGCCCGGTCCTGAGAATCATTCTCTAGACTGCTACTTTCGTCGTAGGCGGTAGCAGGAGGAATCATAGACTCGGCGTCGGTCCGGTGTGGGTTCGCTGGCGACCCACGAGCGACCGACGATCGGGTGGTCATTGTTGCTTTAGGAGGCATCTTCAATCTTAGGTAGTTGAAGAAGAAGAATCAGAATTGTAAAGAAGTAGGGTTCTAGTGTTTACAGGATAGAGCCTGTCAACTAGGTAAGATGAAGATGCCTGGAAGCGAACAATATATTGGAGGAATACAGAGACTGATTCTTGGAGAACCGCTGGGTTCTCCGGGGCAGACTATTTAACATGGGGGATCAGCGTTACGGTGAGCCAACGCTGACGTGTCGACACCTATATGGTGTCGATCCTCTGGGAGTGCGAGAGATCTGTGCATGGCTTCTGAGGATTCCGTTACATGTATGCTCTATCACCTTGGCCGAAATTCGTCTAACAACTAGCCTAAATAGCTGCTTCTAGCGAGTATCGGTAGACCTCCTAATCTTATCATTCTCGATCGTATCGGTGACCTTCTTGAATTAAAGCTTTATAGCATTCTTAAAGGTACGGAGAACAACTAGTAGATTATTAGTCGAGACTTAAAGATCCTGCTTAAGCAGCTAGTGAGCTCCCTCGGTCCGAGAGGTCGAAATCTCGTTAAGATGAAGGTATTCGGAGGTGTATTTATAAAGGAAATACTCGGGGCAGTCGTCTAGCCATTTACTCTGTAGATACTCGAGTAGAGGCTTAAAAATCGGCTCTTTGTAGTATTCTTAAAGCTGTTTCTATCTCTCCTATCTCTCTTCCGTAGTGATAGCGTAGACGACACGAATCCACCGCTTTAGTATTGTCTTCTACGCTTTATCGACTATTTCTCGAAGCTCTCGGTCTCTCTCTGCCTTCGTCCGACACTGCGAGGAAGCTAAGGAAGCTAAGGAAGCATTTGCTGAAGCTTTAGTCTCTTACCGAGCTTTTGCGAGCTGCTTAGCGAGTAGCGGACGCGCTTTCTTTAAGATATTTATGTTAATATACTATAGATAGATTATATACTTTGTAGAAGGGAAGACCACCTTAATGGCATTTATTAGCGCTTCTTCCTTATCGGTAAGGATCGTCCGGGGTGGCTTAAGGGCAAGAGATTCGAATGCTTTAGCAAGATAGCTGAGTATCACTTTATAGCTATCCTGCTTCTTATCCTTTATAAAGGCGAAGCCGACGTAAAAGCTTGATCTAGTAGTAGCAAAGCCAATAATATCGAGCAAGGGAAGGCCGTATCTATTAGTTTTGTATGTAGAATCTATTGAAATAACCTATGAATTGGTCCTAAGCATCGTAATACTCGATTTATGCATTGTAATGGAGTGCACCCAGGTCAATACACGTCTCACCAACTAGGCCAAAAAGACCACTATGTCAGCCGTCAGGCTGACATGCCTGGGACCGATACATATACTACTCAGTACGCACAATTGAACCCGTGGATCAGCCACGCCGTTACAATTATCCCCTCCTTTCCAAAGGGGCATGTCCCCATGCCCTCGCTAAGCAGGCGTACCGACCCTCCTATACCCTCGCTAAGCAGGCATACCGATGGCTCTGTTCGCGTACACCTCTATTTTCGCGTAGGCGTACCGATTCTCGCGTACCCCCGCTAAGCAGGCGCACCGATGGCTCTTTCGCGTACCCTCTATTATGGCGTAGGCGTATGGATCCTCGCGTACCCTCTATTTTCGCGCAGGCGCACACGAGACATGATCAGCTCAGCAGTATAGGCACGTAGGCCCCCAAGCGTAAACTAGGGAACGGGGGACCCCACGAAGTGCGGGGTATGGCCGTCCTTTGAATTTCTTGTAAGCCCAAGTCGCACGCAAACGGATTCGAACCTCGACCTCCGCGCGTACAAGAATAGACCTTTGACGGCTGACATATTGTAATGGAGTGCACCCAGGTCAATACACGTCTCACCAACTAGGCCAAAAAGACCACTATGTCAGCCGTCAGGCTGACATGCCTGGGACCGATACATATACTACTCAGTACGCACAATTGAACCCGTGGATCAGCCACGCCGTTACATGCATACAAAATAAGGTAGTGACGTGATTCTTATTATCTACCTTATGCTTAAAGATCTATTCGCTATCGCGCGGAAGCTCTATTAAGAGAGCTTAAAGCGGCGTACGGCTAGCAAGGAATTCAATATAAAGCTTCCTCCGAAGGTTATAGACGTCTCGGGCTGTAAGACATGACTCCTTATCCTCCTTTCGAATGCTAGTGAGGATATGACGCGTAGAAAGGCCCTGTTGGAGTTGCTTTTTAATCACCGGCGCCTTTGTAGATAGCTCCTGCTTCCGTTAAGCGATATAGGTAGATAGAGGCGAAGGCTTATGGTTGTGCTCTTGCTTGTCGACCGTAAGCTTCTAACGACCGTCCTCTTAAAGCCGAAGCCGGAGTAAAAATGGGCAGTCAATAGCTATAGAGGTAGTCTGCCGCTTTCGCTTAGGGCTATTATTAGGCCGCGCTCGTAGAGTACGACCCCGGTTATAGCATAGCTTCACTATCTTTTTGACGCCTTTCTTAGCTATTGAGCGTAGTATTGAGACTGTATAGCTATGCTCGCGGGCGAAGGCATTGATCGCGGCGATTCCTTGCTCTGGCGTATCGTATTGCTCGAGAGGAGGTAGCGGGAGGATATGGAGGCTTGGTATCGCGTTATGGAGGCTTGGCACGGTGTTTTGGAGGCTTGGTATCGCGTCATAAAGGCTTGGCACGGTGTTTTAGAGGCTTGGTATCGTCGGCGGGGACTCGGGAATAGCTTTAGGCTTAGAATTAGACGGCGAAATAGGCTGTGAGGAAGCTATTGTAAAAAGCAATGAAATGCGAGAGAAATGGGTGGAAACATGGGAGGTTTAAAGGTGTAAACAACAATTATTTTGCATTTCTTGTTGGGTACTATAGTGGTACGAGAGTTACTTCTTTTTACTAGCAATTTTCATAGTAATTGGAGGTACCTAAGGTGTGATATACATGCAGGGTAGTGGTAGCAATAAATAAAAGTTCGAGGATGAAAGCGGTGAGAAAAGCGGTCAGTTGATGCCTGACTTTCCAGGCAGGGAGTGGTGTTAGCATCCAAAGGGTGGTGTCTGTATCAATCCCCTATATCTATCTGCTGGGATTTGTCAAACAGGGCGGTGATTCTCCCACCACCCACCAACAGAAATGCATGCATTGTTGATATGAAATTTGGGTAAAGCTGTCTATATGGTTGACCAGGCATCATCAACTGGAAGAACGGCCCCATTGATTCGTGCACTTTGATCGGAGGCCAAGAAAATTACTGTCTCGGCTACTTCTTCCGGAAGCATTTGGGTATACCCCTCCGGGCGGTTGGAATACACAGCACCCAGAATTGGCTTTATTGTGTCTAGTGCCTCGTGATCGAATTGGCTAGGGTCCATGTTACTGATGATGCCCGTCGCGACCCCTAAGTGAATGGTGAGCACTGTCTTCGCGTTGTTTAGAGAATGGCTTACCTCCTGGACAAACCACATTGCACCGGATATTGTCGCCTTTGAATCTCCAAGCAACATTTTTGCTCAAGCCTATCAAACCATGCTTGCCTAACGCCTGGTTAGCCTGAATGGAGAGAAATGGTGTTGGGTATGGACTTACTTGCGGTATATGCCACCCCCGCTGCAGCGCCGCTGACGCCCGCCCTGCTAGACATGTTTATGATGTTTCCTCGCTTCTGCGCACGCATTGTTGGAATAACTGCTCTCATAAGTTTTAGAGGAGCGGTGAGGTTGATTGCAATACATCGATCCCAGTCAGAGTCGGTGACCGTGTCGACGCTTCCATGGTGATCCATCACCCCAGCGATATTGAACAACGCGTCGATTCTGCCCTCAAAGACCTCGAGGCAATTGCTTACCACAGAATCAATAGATGATTCGACTGCCAGATCACACTGGGCGTAGCGAAATTTGTTGTTTTCCTTGAGAGTGGCAGGCTGTGGGGCGATGTCGACTCCAAACACTCGCGCACCTTCTCTCAGCGCAGCGATCGCGGTGGCCATGCCAATACCGGAGGCGGCACCTGTGACAATAATGACTTGATCTTCAAGGACTCCCATCATTGCCAGCTGCTTCGGTTGTGTGAGGTTCGGGGTGGAGATTCCAGGGTCTTGCGGCTCGGATCGAAGTAGGGATCATACAATGCCTGTATACAGGAGAGATTCTGAATTTTCTATACGGATGGTGGGGTTAAATTACAAAACGGCAAGAATCCACCCTCTGGAGTATAGTAGTAAATTACTCTGTACTCCAGTCCAGAATACTCCTATTGATAAGCATGGAAACATGTGCTGTAATCTGGACAGTGGCTGCATTATGAAGTATCACCTGCGGGATTTGAGTAAATACGAGGTCTCCTTGATGTGGACTCAATATGGTGGTTCTATGGCGCATTGTTGAGAGGCTGCATACTTCACCTGCGGGCGCTTTTGCCTCATCACGAGCTCACCCCTTGCCTTGCAGATCACTGGCGTAGCTGAGTGTCAACCTCAACTTTCGTGAGTCTAGTGACTCTCCGTGAGTGGAATCATCTAAGAAAACGACAAGGGAAAAATCGCTTGACGATGCTTCAGGGTGTAATCGATACCCATCAGGCGAGTCTACGTGGGATTCTTGCTACCGGAGCCTTGGTTATCTTTGTCGCATTGTTTTTGGCCACATTTCAATTTCAAGTTCTCTGTTTGCCCTTGATCAATGGTAGGAAAAGATTTGAACTTAGCCTTACGAATTCGAAAAAGCGATACTATGCCGATGCGAAAGGATTCATTCAGTCTGGATTCTCACAGGTACGTCAATCCCACTCTGCTCACGAAAGAAGCTGACATAAAGCGTTGCGACCATGTGCAGTCAAAAAATGGATTTTATGCAATTACAGAAAATGGAAGGGAGTTGATTCTCGCTCCAAAGTTTGCCGATGATATTCGTAACGACAAACGCTTTAACTTCCATACTTACCGTGAGCATGTATGGGGACTTCTGCGGCTTAGCTCTACCAAGACCACTTATTGACGGTGCAATTATTAGACAATGCTGCCTAATGTTGCTGGGTTGGACTTGTTTCAGCTCAATGATTTGGGCAAAAAGATACTGAGCCATGTGATCGGGTATAGATTGACGCATAACTTGGGTTCGTACCGACAGCATCGCAGCAACTAAAGATAATGACGGCAATTCTGACCATTCTCTCAGTTAACCTAATCCAACCCTTGTCAGAGGAGGCAGAAGATTCACTTCAAAAGATATGGACCGATAGCCGTGGTGAGTTGCTTTCCTTCCAATATGTTGGCATCTCGATTAAATTTTGAGCAGAGTGGCACGAGGTGCCTCTAAGAAACAGCCTTCTTGCAGTCATATCCCAACAGTCTTCCCGAGTGTTTCTAGGAAAAGAATTCTGCCGAGATCCAACGTGGTTGAAAATCAACACTGACATAACAGTCCTTGCCTTCCGAGCGGTCCAAGAGCTGCGCGTCTATCCAAATCTTCTCCGCCCAGTGGTAGGGTGGTTCTTACCTGCTTGTCGGGTATTACGCTCTGAGGTTCGGAAAGCTCGCAAGATCATTGAGCCCATAGTGCAAAAAAGGCGAGACTACAAAGCGGCATGTCTTCGAGAACAGACCAACCCAGAGCAATTTTTAGATACCATTGAGTGGGCAGAAGAATGTGCTGGTAGTCAGGCATATGATCCAACTGTTACTCAACTGACCATCGCGCTTTCTGCCATGCATAACACCTCAGACTTTCTCACTCAGCTTGTCTTCGATCTGTGTGAGCGGCCAAACTTGATCGAGGATCTTCGCCAGGAGATCATCTCTGTGAGAAAAAAGCATCCATGGGGAAAGGCGACGATACATCATCTCAAGCTCATGGACAGTGTGATGAAGGAGAGTCAGCGGTTGAAACCTATTGGTCTCGGTGAGTTTCTTACAGATTCATAGATCGAATTTCGCCCCCCTTCACCGAATCGGCTAACCGGGTCTCTCTAGTCAATATGAGACGCCGTGCGGAAAACTCAGTTGAGCTCGCAGATGGTCTCATAATTAGAAAAGGCGATCTGCTCATGATTTCCTCGGCTAACCAGTGGAATCCGGCCATTTACCCCGATCCTGATCAATTTGATGGGTATCGCTTTTACAACATGCGTCAAACGCCGGACAAGAAGAACCTTTCACATTTCGTTTCAACCAACGTGAACCATATTGGGTTCGGCCACGGAAGGCATGCCTGCCCAGGAAGATTCTTTGCCGCTGCAGAGACCAAAGTGGCTCTGTGCCACATACTTCTCAAGTATGATTTCAAGCTAGTTGGAGAAGCACCCCCAAAGATCTTGGCGATTGGATCAATCACTAGCGCGAACCCTTTCGCAAAAATTGCAATTCGACGTCGAGAGGAAGAGGTTTCACTTGGTGTATCGGAGCCTTGAGATGGAGCTGTGAATACTTTGATTGAAATATCATTCGAAACGGAACTTGCCAATTTGGGAAAATTGAATAAATAAGAGGACATACTTTACGTTAGTCTAGAAACAGCGTTATGTTAACTATTTTATTACAAGAAGCAGTACTGATTCCGACCCTGGAATTACCTTATTCTCATTTAAAACAATAGATATTGAAGATGATGCCTTGCCTTTTCAACAATCGTGCGGGTTGCAGTCTCTCGAATATTAAGAGATAATACGTCTACCACAGAAACCAGCACAGGGAAGAACCTCTATTGTGATCTATTAGCAAACCCATCATAAATTGGAGGGCCAGGAGCCAGATTTTGTGGGTGTAGAGTACCAGCCTTTGCATGGCCCTGAAAATAACATCAAACACTACTACATTATTACTCTGAAATCCACATTGAAACCCATGTGGCACAGGTAACAAATGACTTTGGAGTTTGGAGACAGCAGGAAAATAGATATTTGGGATTTAACTAACATTTCTATAAGCGTAGTTCAAGAGACCAGGCTTGTAAATAAAATGTCGGAAACAAGCTCGGAAATACGAGAATCGCTCAGCCCGTCGTCCCACCCATGGATGGAGGAAGGATACCGCAGGCTGGGCATCCATGACCGTTGTATTGCAGCTATACAAATAGCAAGCAGAGTGCTTGTAATCGGTGTGAGAGCACACTCGACCGAGATGCAGTCTTTCAAAAGCATCGCTCTGCTGGAAAGTGGCGACATCGTGCGAATTTCTCGAATAGACACGTCTCACTTGGTAGAATTATTAGGGCAGAGTGATCTAACGGACGACCAGATTATTCAATGAAGACAGCTCACATAAAGGTAGTGGGCTTACAAGCATCATGCCGAGAATTTGTCATTGGGATTTGACGCAAGGGTGACAAGCGGGTACTTTTGTCTATTCTGCAGCTTGCGCGGCTAGAGATAGGCACCTTGCGTCAGCAATCATTCATTGACTAGATACATAGAACTATCAAAGTACATAGAACTATCAAAGAGGCCAAAATATGAACTAGATCCCCGAACTCATTCTTCGTATCGCGTCTGACTGATTTGCGTCTGGCTTTCCAATTCTCCGCCAAAATGGTCACAAAGTGCATTGACCCTTGCGAGCAGCAAAATCAGAAGAGACCTGTTGGCCATTTAGTTTGGGATCTCATTCGAATCTCCCGCTATGACAAGTATAACTCTTTTCTGGCACTGTTTTCAGGAGGTAGGTCACCCAAGAATATAGGCAAAGAATGAGCACTAAGAAATCTGAATAATTATTAGTTTGGTCTACGTTGCTAGCTGGAGCGCTCAAATTGCGAAATGAGCCAGAAAGTACTTCCGTTTCTTTTGTCCTCAGTCGGGTAGTGCTTTGCTCTTTGGCTTCTTATATTTTTTCGGGGGCTGGCATGGTGTGGAACGACTGGGTGGACCGTGATATCGATGCCAAAGTGGCGCGTACAAAGGACCGTCCACTGGCATCGGGACGACTTCACACGATGGAGGCAATGGCTTGGCTGATTATCCAAGTGGCCGCGTCGACTGGGCTTTTATACTGGATGATGGAAGGAAGACATGTGTAAGTTCAAGTGTTATTGAGAGTCAATTTCGATGAGCATCAGGCTAACTGTAAAACAGCTGGATTTCCCTGGTTCCTCCAGCAATTGGGACTCTTCTTTATCCATACTGTAAACGTCCAACGGCCCAGAAATTCGGCATCTATCCCCAGTATGTCCTAGGGTTGACTGCAGCCTGTCCAGCGGTATTTGGGCGAGCGGCAATTTACAACCATGAGGACTCCTTCCAAGATTTGATAAACGCCTCTTTTCCTTTGTGTTTGTTTGTTTTCGTCTGGACCCTTTATTTCAACACGGCATACAGCTACCAGGATGTGAAGGACGACTCCAAGATGAAGATCAACTCATCTTATGTATTCGCTGGCCAACACATTCATTTGTTCCTCGTTCTCCTTACCGGACTTGTCCTTGCTTCTATCCCATGGGTTCTCCATCCTTTACAATCAGGTTGGCTTTGGGTCTCCTGGATGGGCGTGTGGTCGGTTGGATGCGCAGAACAACTGGTGAGGTTCAATGCTAACGACCCGCATACTGGAGGGCTTGTTTGGAGACGCAACATTCTTCTGGCTCTATGGACAATCTTCGCATGCTTGGTGGAGGTATTACTAGTGTGGATTCATCAAATTTGATTTCATCGGGCAAGGGAATTACTGCAACGCATAAAGTTTGTGGCAAACTACAGAATCATCAGTTCCAAGGTTACGGGTCAGTTACGGGTCATTCCAACCTTGGAACCTTGGAAGGTTGACGCGGACTCGATACTCCGGATGATTGAAAAATACCTAGTGAAATGGGGATGGCTCGATGGCAGTCTGATATAGCAGACGGGTCGATATCAATAGAAAGAAGACAACCAACCACTCCCATGCCCACCGTAGGCATAGAGAGGAGTCTCAGGAAGCGACTAAAGTACTGATCTTGAAGCTATATCATGAATGAAGAACCTGGTGGAAAAACTGTAGTTATATTGATGATGCTAGGATGCTCTCTCTCGAAGGAGAAGACTGCAAGAAAGCTTCCTGAAGCATTTGTGATACCTCAGGCCACGAATACGCTACTGTCACGGGTTCCACCACTACACTAGGTAAATTTCACTTCAAAGCACTATAATACCGGCTAGGGCCTTTTGATATAGAGTGGTGGCTAGTTTTTCTTAGGCAGATTTACATATGTGTTGAAGCCAAACTCTCGTAGACTTTTGTCGGCGATTCTTTATTGTACAAAGGTATGTATTTGAAAATAAAGACCGCAGAGGACTAAAAGCTACTTAAAAATGAAAAATAAATTCGTTGCTATATAGCTTTATCTTGATATATCAGCTTAAAGTGGCCATCGCTACTATGTAAAAGTTAGGTTTGTAGCCAGATTTGGTTGCTATATTTGTATAGAGAAATTTCCGGACCCTTTTATGCAAAAAAGAGAAATTCAATATTCATGCTTCAACTTATGGGATAGTTTTAAAGATCAGAAATTATAAGGATTCTATGTTTGTTGTATTGGGAATCTTTAAGGGGTAGATTGCTCAGCCACTTGGAAGAGTTCGTCTGTTTTCTTTTGCCATCTTCTCTCGGGTAAGTTCCGAGGTGACTCTGTTCTATGTTCTATTCCTTGTTATATGCAGAGATACCCGACTGGGTATTTAATCACTTTCGATTTATGCAGAGATAACACTATCACTATCGTATCCCTTGCGTCAAAATGCACTCAGTTGAGATATGGGCGGACTCTAGATTAGAGACGCCAAGAATTCTCTGCATCTATTGTGACTACATCAGTGGGGGGAGCAAGGTGCATGAATTGTCCTCTTGAGTGATCATCAGATGCATGTTTTTCGCGCTATAGCAGTTTCAACAATAGGAAAGGATGTGGTGCCTTGGGGAACAGCTCATATGCAAAGTAGTCTCATACAAGTCAACGTCCTTCAATCTTCCATGCACAAATAACTTCCCTTTGAATCTCACTGACCGTATTTTCTATAACATCTCATTATACTATTCACTCCCCAGTACGCGCCTAGCGTGCTAGATACGATTTTTAATTTCTTATTATCAAATTCGAAGAGGTGAGTGTACAAGTTCCCCACCAGTTCCGTAATTATCACCTAATGAGTTTTTCTCCATATTCCAGACTCCATGGTTTCTGCTATAGAACCAATTGCAATTGTTGGCACAGGCTGTCGCTTTCCAGGAAACTGTTCCTCGTCAGCACGTTTGTGGGAACTGCTGCGCAGTCCTCAAAATGTAGCGTCCAAAGTCCCTGCAGATCGGTTCAACGTCGATGCCTTTTACCATCCGGACGGAACTCATCATGGAACTACCAATGTTAAAGAAGGTTATTTTCTTAAGGAAGATGTTCGCGCCTTCGATGCATCTTTTTTCAATATTTCTCCGACAGAGGCAGCCTCGATGGACCCACAGCAACGTCTTCTGTTGGAAACAGTGTACGAGTCACTTGAGAGCGCCGGGCTTCAAATGGAAGCTCTCCAAGGTTCATCAACGGGTGTTTTCTGCGGCTTTTTGAGAAATGATTATAGTCAAATCCAGACGACAGATAGAGATGCTTTACCTGCCTACATGGTCACTGGAAATTCTCCCTCGATCATGGCAAACCGAGTATCTTACTTCTTTGATTGGAAAGGACCATCATTTGGCATGGATACCGGTTGTTCATCCAGTCTTCTCGCCGTCCACTTGGCTGTTGAGGCCTTGCACAGGGGTGATTGTTCGATGGCCATGGCAGTGGGCAGCAACCTGATATTGTCGCCAACGCCCTTTATCGCGGACTCAGCGACGGGGATGCTCTCTCCCACTGGGCGGAGTCGCATGTGGGATGAGAGTGCAGATGGTTACGCTCGTGGTGAAGGTGTGGCGGCTGTCGTCTTGAAGCGATTGAGCGATGCTCTTGCTGACGGGGATGAGATTGAATGCCTGATTCGCGCTACCGCAGCCAACGCTGACGGTCGGACAATGGGCATCACGATGCCGAACGGAAATGCCCAACAGGAACTCATCCATAACACTTATACTAAAGCTGGGCTTGATCCTAAAAACTCCGAGGGGCGATGTCAATATTTTGAAGCACATGGCACAGGCACCCAGGCTGGCGATCCGCAAGAAGCAGGAGCCATCTTCAACGCATTTTTTGGAGATTCACCCACAACAGACTTGAAGGCGGAGGAAAAGCTGTACGTGGGGTCCATCAAAACCGTTATTGGACACACCGAAGCAACCGCAGGTCTGGCAGGCTTGATCAAAGCCTCCCTATGCCTTCAACATTCCGAAATTGTTCCAAATATGCTTCTTGAGAGACTCAACCCGAAGCTGAGCTCATTTATGTCCTGTCTCCACGTGCCTACTGAGAATATGCCATGGCCAAAACTACCCGCCGGTGCCCCTCGTCGGGCTTCAGTGAACTCATTTGGATTTGGAGGAGCCAATGTCCATGCCATCTTAGAGAGCTACGATGCCCCTGCCACATCCCCACCGACTCATTCACTACCGTTTATCCTGCCCTTCACCTTCTCCGCTGCATCTGAAAGGTCTCTTGGTGCCGTCTTACAACAGCACGGCAGGTATCTACAAGATGCCAAAGAGGAACATTTGCTGGACTTGGCCGCCACCTTGGGCAATCGACGATCTGTCTTCAGCCATCGCGTTAACCTCACTGCAAGCTCACTGGAGGACTTAAGATCTAAAGTACAACACGAGATTGAGCAAAACACGACTGAATACTCGTCAACTGTGATATGTCGTAGCAAGGCTCGAAGCCACAGCGTGCTCGGCGTTTTCACTGGTCAAGGAGCTCAATGGCCCCAGATGGGACTTGACTTGATTATGGCCTGCCCCGAGGCTCGAATGTGGATCGATGAAATGCAAGAATCTTTGAACCGACTCCCTGCCGAGTATCGACCAAACTTCGTCATGATGGACGAGTTGTCAAAGCCTAAGGATAAGTCTCGTGTTCACGAGGCCGCTATCTCTCAGCCTCTTCGAACAGCCATTCAAATCATTCAGGTTAATTTTCTTCGAGCTCTTGGCATCAGCTTCACTGCAGTTGTTGGTCATTCATCCGGTGAGGTTGCGGCGGCATATGCCGCTGGCCTACTTAACTCCTCGGATGCTATTCGTATCGCATATCTGCGCGGAAATGTCGCAAAGTACGCAGGCTCAACTGGCCAGCAGGGGGCCATGATGGCTGTCGGTCTTTCAGGGGGTGATGCGGATGCCATTTGCTCACAAGAATCGTACGTGGGTCGAGTCAGCGTAGCAGCCTACAACTCTCCGTCGAGTGTTACGCTTTCCGGTGATCAAGATGTTCTGACGGAGCTGGAATGGCTGCTAAGAAGCTTAGGCCGTCAGGTGAAGGTCCTTCGTGTGGACACAGCGTATCATTCACACCATATGCTCCCATGCGCAGAACCTTATCTGAAGGCTTTGAAGAAGTGCAACATATCAATCCAACGGCCACAGACTTCGCGGTGGTTTTCCAGTGTGTTCAACGGGCGAGAGATGATGTCAGATGACGATTCTCTTCAAGGCGAATATTGGAAGGAGAACATGGTGCACTCAGTAGAGTTTTCTCAGGCCATGGCGATGGCAGTTGATCAGATTTCTGGCCCAGACTTGATCATGGAGGTCGGTCCTCATCCTGCTCTCAAAGGACCTGCGATTGAGACACTGTCCACGATCCAAACGGACACGCAGATACCCTACATAGGACTCACAAAGCGCGATAGTAGCAGTATTGAGTGTTTTGCCGCAGCGATCGGCTCCCTGTGGACCTATTTAGAATCGGGATGCATGGACTTACCCAAGTATGTGTCTCTCTTTGATCCTGCTTATCATCTGAAGTTTGTCAAAGACCTCCCTTCGTATCCCTTCGATCACAGAGAACAGTTTTGGGCCGAGTCTCGTCTGTCAAAAGCTGTTTCTCATCGATCCAATCCTCCAAACTGTCTTCTCGGCGTCCTCTCCCCCGACAGTGGCAAGGAGGAGCAGGTATGGAGAGGCTATTTGCGACGAGATAGCCTCCAATGGCTCATCGGTTACGAGATCCGGTCACTGCCCTTGTTTCCACCAAGCGGATACATCTCGCTAGCTTTAGAGTCGGCCAAGTTGATTGCTGGACAAGAACAACTCCAGCTCCTCGAGGTCCAAGATCTCGCCATCGAGAACGACCTACCAATTGCAGACAATACCACTGGTGTTGAGATTGTCTTCAAAGTCGGTAGCCTACGCACAAACGGGAAGCATATTCATGGCACTTTCAATTGTCAGGCTGGAGTGTCCGGGAAACTGATATCTTGCGCATCAGGTGTTCTGACAATGACATTGGGTAGCGCTGACGCCGCAGCGCTCCCAGCACGAAGATCCTCACTTCCAGATATGCGGGCTGTTGATATTGAAGATTTTTACTCAGCTCTCACTCGCTTAGGACATCTCTATTCTGAAGATTTCAAATGCCTGAAAGCCCTCTCCCGCAGGAGAGATGGTGCCTGTGGCTCCGCCCTCAACTCGATTGAGAGAAAGCCCGGGTCTCCGCTGCTCCATCCAGCCACGGCCGAAACCAGCTTTCAGGTGCTTATGGCCGCACTCGAGAATCCCAGCAATAGCCAATCTTCTATACTGTACCGCCCAACGCTCATCCGGCGTACAGTCATCAATCTTGCCCTTTGTGATAGCCCTGAACTGATGTTGGACGCGTCCATTCTTCACGTCGAGCCAGAGGGCATACATGGTGTTGTGGATGTCTTCAACTCCACTGGCCAGGGAGTTATGCAGCTGGAAGGAGTCCATCTAGTTCCCCTACTAGAGGATTTGGCAGATGTACACTCTGCTACACTCTTCTCTGAGACTGTCTGGGGACCCGTGAAATTGGATGCTACACTAGGAGCTTCTGACTGCGCTCCCAATGTTGCCTCTTCTCTGGAACTGAGGGAAAGGTTAACATTCCTTCATCTTCGAAATATTGGTGACCAGCTTTCTCTGAAAGCACGTCAAAATCTGGATAAACCTCGTGCATTCTTCGTCGCATGGATGGATCATGTGTTAGCCGCAGTTCGTGATAACGACCACCCTACATGCCGATCAGAGTGGCTGGGCGAGAATCTCCAACATTTCCTCTCGATAGATCATGGGCTCCATCAAAGCGAGCTGTTGGCCATGGACAAGATCTGCCGAAGTATCAGTGCACGACTCTTATGTATGGGGGACACCCAGGAAGATGTGTTTGTCAACGAAGCGCTGGCAGAGTATTACCAAACTTCTCGCGAATTTTCATCCTTGTGCGACCGTCTCGTTAAGGTGGTTGGTCAAATTTTGTTTCTCTTCCCCCGATTGAACGTTCTTGAGGTTCGTAGGGGGACTGACCTCGTTACCAAGCGCCTCTTGCGAGAGTTTGGCCATGCATTCCACTCCTACACTTGCACAGACACAAGCGATGTACCCCCAGCGCGTAAGGAGTCACAAAATGCTCAAAGTAAGAGGCTGATTTCATACACCTCTTTGGACCTATGCGATGATATCGTCGTTCAGGGCTACCAAGAGCATTCGCAGGACTTGGTAGTGATTACCAATTCTGGGCATGGGTCCTGTTCATTGCCTGTGACCATCAGCAATATGCGACGCCTTCTGAAACCTGGAGGATATATTGTTATCATTGAAACTACAAATCCTACTTTGGTCTATCCCAAGTTCTTCTCGGGGACACCTCAAAATTGGAAAGAGTCAGTCCGCACAAGATCAGAATGGAATACGCTTCTTCTTAGCGGTGGTTTCAGTGGCATTGACACCGCGAACCCAGCTCATGAGGCCGCAATCTTGAACATGTCCCTCTTTGTGTCCCAGGCTGTAGATGATCAAATCCAGCTGCTGCGCAGTCCCTTGTCTATGTGCTCCGCTGTTGCCAACCAGGATCTATTTTTTGTTTGTGAAACCAATGATGATATGGAGCCTCTGAGAAACTCCCTTTATGGACTCTTGAAACCACGTTTCAATCATATCGTCTCCGCTGAAAACCTCGATGCTATGGAATTCGAGGGGTTCTGCGCTCCAACTGTCCTCGTCTTGACCTACAAGAACGATTCGTGGTTCCAGACAATCACCAACGAGCAGTGCCGTGCCTCTATTCAGAAAACTTTCAAGGCAGCTGGCAAACTCCTCTGGGTTACAGTTGATGCCCAAGTTGATCCCTACAGAGCTATGACGAATGGTATGTTACGAAGTATATCCCTGGAATATCCTAGTGTGACTTTCCAACATTTGGAAATTCCAAATCCGAATGCCGTCAGCTTCAAGATCTTGGCTACGGCATTGATGCGATTAGTCCATACCAAGTTCGAAAACAACTGTCGACTATCAGGGGTCGTTACGGCAACGGAGCCCGAAGTTCGCTATGTTGATGGTGCTTTCCTTGTTCCCCGACAGCAAACTAGCTCTTTTCCTAACAAGAGATATCTTGCTCATACGCATGTTGTGGATGGTGATGTCGGCATTGAGCATATACTTATTGAGCCAACCAAGCCAGAGAGGCTTGACAGTCCTGTTCGTGTCGTAGCACACTCTACAACTTCTTCGTACAGCCCCCAATCTCCCCGAGTCACTCTCCGTGTGCAGTATTCTACTTTGCGAGCCGTGAGAGTCGATACCGCCGGCTATCTTTATTTGGTTGTCGGGCGTGATGTACAGTCTCAATCCCGCTTCCTAGCCGTGACAGACAAAAACGCAGGGCTAATCTCTATCGACGTGTTGCGCACTCGACCAATCCCAAGTTGGATTCCTGAAGGCCAGGAGGATGATCTCCTTCTATTCATAACTTGTGCCCTTATCGCCGAACAGATCTTAAGCGAGGTCCACCCCGGAACATCTCTCCTTGTCCATGAACCCGATTCCGCGCTGTATCAAGCTCTCGCCACTGCTGCCCCGCTGCACATGATTGAAGTGTTCTTCAGTACTAGCAAAAGCCCACCCGCGAACGGAATGATGTTCATCCACAAGAATGTCTCCTCGCTGGCTCTATCACGACAGCTGCCATCAGACTTGTCCGTCATTGCCGCATCAGCGAGCTCTTCTGGCACACTTTTCCGTCGGGCCACCTCATTACTACGCAAGGACATTCGACAAGTTGATATAGACAATTTCTTCCGGGCGTCTCCTCAGACACGCCAAGTTCAAGTGAGCGACTTACGTGGCATTGCTCATGCTCTAAAGCAAACGCGTGCTCTCCACGATACCCGTGCTTCTGTAACAGAGGTAGACGCCATTTCTGGACACCCAGGAGCTCTGGACAATTTGGAGATCGTGGACTGGACCGCATCAAAGCCGATCCCGGCGCAAATCAGATCAGCAAGCTCCCACGTGAGTTTATCCGCGGCCAAGTCCTATCTGCTGCTAGCAATGCAGAAAGATCTTGCTGTATCGGTTTCTGAGTGGATGGTGGCCCGGGGCGCGCGGCATGTGGTGCTTGCAGGCACCGCCTCGGATATCAATGTTGATAAAGGGTGGGTGGAAGAGATGGCCAGCAGGGGAGCCTGTATTCATTGCTTGCCAACGTAAGTAACACTTGATTATTTGGTTGCCCCCACACTAACCAGATCCAGTGATATCTCAGAACGGCAGTCTGTGCTGCTTTTAGAGCGTTTCACCTGTGCACTTCCTCCAGCGGGAGGAATAATATATGGTGCTTTGGCCCGGCTTCCGGCCGACAATCTCTTCCCAATGGCTCGTCAGAATAGAGATGTGAGCCCCATAACATCTCTATTGGAAAGTAGTATCCTACTGGACGAACTGTATAATCACCCGGCTATGGACTTTTTCATCTTTGTCGGCAGCCTCTCTGGTCAGTTCAATCATGCAAACATGGTAGAATGCGCTGCTGCCTCGGAGTTCTCCTCCGCTCTGATTCGTCGGCGTCGCTCTCGGGGCTTCAGTGGAAGTATTGTCTTTATGTCACAGATCCCGGATCCCAAATCCGAATCTAAGTTCCTTGGTGAGAAGTACCTGTCTGAGCATGATTTGGATGAGGTATTCGCAGAGTCTATTCTGGCTGGTGATCCTAATTCTACCGGGAATCACGAGATCACTGCCGGCCTGCGGCCCATCAAGCCGGAACACACGGAGATGTCTTGGAATCGGATACCCAAGATGTGGAATTTCGTACAGCATCTTGCGGAGTTCAATTCTGTTTCACCTAGCCACAGCGAGGTCATCACCATGAGCGTTCTCCTGGAAAGAGCGACCAGTCAGCGAGAGGTCACCGAAATCCTCACCTCGCACCTTCTCACACAGCTGCGTACCAAGTTGGGTCTGTCTACGGAGGCGGTCCTTGTACCAGAGACTCAGCTGAGTGAACTGGGTGTAGATTCTTTGGTGGCTGCCGATCTGCGGACATGGTTCCTCAAAGAACTGTCCGTTGATGTGCCCATTCTTTTCATGCTGAGCGGATCATCCATACAGGAAATTACCAGTAGTGCAGCCGCCAAACTGGATGCAAGCAGGATACCGCATGCACAGTAGCTTTAATTAGATTCTCGTTTTGTCAGATAGTGAATAAAAGTTTCAACAGCCAGGTTTCACCTATCGCACTGTGCCAAATCAAGACTGTGGGGTTGCTGCAAGGAATGCGTATGATCAATCTATACATCTGGTACGATATGCTCACATGTACTAATTTTGGGCATTTAATGTGCTGGGAAAACATATAAAGATGATGATACCCTCTGACGGTGTGTTCCACCAAATTTCTTCCTTTCGCTATTCTACGTTACTCGTCAAGCCCACTTCCAAGGTTTTATCTTATGGACCTAGTTAGCTTTGCTTTCAGTGGCCCTGCCACCCATGCAGATCAAGCGCCCTTATACATCGATGCAAAACGTCCATCGCGATCGCTAAGCGAGGCCCCTTTTCGGCGTCTTGTGCGGTCACTTGTAGCTGGATTCAAAGCTTACGGTGTAGAACGCGGCGATACTGTGCTAGTGCAGCTCGACAATCTCGTACGTCTCTTTCTTTGCTTCCACCCCCTATAGGCATTTTCTTACCGCAGCCGCGGCAGGTTATTCACTCTGCACTTTTATTTGGCATCGTTGGTGCTGGGGGCGTCTATATGGGCTGCAGCCCATCCAGTCCTCGTCACGAACTCGACCATTTCGTTTCTCTCGTGGAGCCCCGTCTAATCCTCACAGTTGCGTCCGCACTGTCCGTCGTGCGCGATGTTTGCACCAACAAAGGGATCTCCTGGAGCCAAATTTGCCTCGTCGACGATCAATCGGTCGATCATCTCGTGTCATTCGCCCAGAATCAGTCTTACAACCCGCAGGCCACGCCGCCAGTCCGGGATGAGGGAGTCCATTTCGACCTCAAGGATATGGTCTCCTTCGGGGAGAGCGACTGGATGCGCATTTACGATGAAGCCACGGCAAGAATTACACCTGCCGCCATGTTCTCGACCAGCGGCACCAGCGGGCTGCCCAAAGCGGCCATTCGCACTCACCATACTATCATCTCTCACCATCAAACAGTCCACTACGATGTCCCATATCCCGTCACGCGACTAATGGCTCTGCCCATGTCCCATTCCTTCGGAGACTTCTGGTCCAATCTGTTTCCAATTCGCTATGGCCATCCCCTGTACGTCATGCCGCGGTTCGACTTGTCTACGTTTCTCAATGTTGTTCATCGCTACAACATCACAGAGACCTACCTGGTGCCAGCGATGGTACACATTCTCAACCAGTCCACCCTCCCTGTCCGCGAGAGTCTCGGCTCTTTGTTCTACATCGGTGTCTCTGGGGCTCCCATTGATGCGGATTCCTTGCAGCGATGCCAGAAGTTGCTCAACCCGCAGGCCTGCATCGGACAACTCTGGGGTATGACTGAGGTGGGTGTTATCTTTCAGAACCGTTACGGTGACCAGCGGTATCCAGGAAGTATTGGGAAACTCTTGGAAAACTATGATATCCGCCTGGTCCGGCTGGACGATGGGACAACCATTCACGGGGAATCTACGCCAGGAGAGCTGTATGTTCGTGGTCCAGGGATCATGCTCGCCTACCAGGGCCGCGACGATGGCATCGATGCCCAGGGCTGGTTTCGTACAGGTGACATAGCCTACAGTGAGGACGAGCATTATCATATTGTTGGGAGGACTAAGGAGCTCATCAAAGTACGAGGGTAGGTGTGGTGCCATATCTCAATCATTTGATGGAAAATAGCTAACTTGTTTACTATCGGTCAGGTATTCCGTCGCTCCCGCCGAGATTGAGGCAGTTCTTCTGAAAGATCCTCGGGTGCACGATACGATGGTGATCGGCATCACCCTGCCGGACGGCAGCACCGAGGTCCCTAGGGCGTATGTGGTATGTGCACTTGGGCAGGCTAGACCCACGGCGGACGAGGTCTCAGCGCTCGCTCTAAAGAATCTTGCTAGTTACAAGGCCTTGGACGGTGGGGTGATTTTCGTGGAAAGTTTGCCCCGAACAGGGATCGGCAAGCCCCATCGCTCCAAACTATCGCATTTGGATGCACAGCGAACAAAACTGGCTGCATTGCTGTCGCCTGTTTAGACTGCTTGCTGAAAAGACGAAACCCAGGATTCGCTGAGGCGACACATGCAGTAGAGTTATTTGTTATATTCTTGACTTCATTTTCCTTGTTCTCTTTTCTTCCTACGCATTTTGTCCCAATATTATCCTCGTATGACCCGAATTATCAATCCACTCTTTTAATACGCATAGTGCATCGAGTTTGTCACTGAAACTTGGAAATTTTCAGGCTAACCTTGTGAAAACACCTTAGGTAGCCATGCCGACACCCACCTCCTGTTGTAAACCTTACCATATCCGATTTTGGGGGAAACAAATGATATTTTTCGGACGCAAGAGGACTTCGAAATAATGACTGCTGCAGGCTTACGCCGCAGGCTAGTGAAATGTTTTCTTTTTCTAGGCCCATATGCATGCTGGATCAAGTTGACGTCTCTCGCCAGAAGTAGAGTAATTCCTAGCTATGCATGCATACAACCCCTTACCCTGCCTAGTAAAACAGTGCATATTGCATGCATCTGTGCTGCAAAAGTTACCTGTAAATGTCGAGATCAAATACTATGATCGCATTATTACTATCATTATCCTATCTGCCATTTATTTTGAATTCTTGATTTCTAAACCACTGTTGATCACATTGGGTCGGTACTGATTCGTGCCGGCATTTCCCAGTAAAAAGGTTTGTTTATTTTGCACTCTGTAGATGCATTATGAAGCATAGTAGCAATACACGCTGTCAATGACAGTTAGAATGTGCGGAGTCCGTTCTCCTATGCATCAAGACCCTTGTAGATGGATCAGGAAGCAGAACTTCATCAGCCGAAAAGACTTTTGGTCGCGAGGTCCCTGGAGGAAACCGGAAGTCGTAGTCCATCAGCAAGTGGGAGATAATCATTTTAATCTCATAAGCCGCAAAGAAGCGACCGGGACAAGCATATTTGCCATGACCAAAATGCAGGCTGTTCTTGTCGGTCGTGGCAAACTGATATTTGTGCGCCTCACCGGAGTTCTGGCGTCTTCGTGAGTATCGAAATCCGTCAAAGGAGGAATCAAATGCCTTTCCTTGTAGGACTTCCGCAGCCGGTACGCTGATATGTGTGCCCTTAGGAAGGGCAGTTCCATCTGAGAGGGTAACCTCTTGCATGACGATTCGCTGGAAGCTCACTGGGTCGGAAAACATGTCAGCCAAGAAAGGAAAGAAAGGGGCTGATATATGAGGTAAGATGGACGCACATAGACTAGGGGGCTCAGCCGCTGGCTCTCCTTGATGAAACTATCTAATTTGTGCATCTTGGTGAGGGTAGTCTTTGCCCATTTACCATCTTGTTCGAGAGAGTCGGTGATCTCTTGCCGCAGTGGCTCGACATATTCAGGAAACTGGCAGAGATCATAGATGGCGTACGCCACAGCCATCGTCGTTGTGTGAATGGCGGCCAGACTGAGGACGAGTTGTCGGTGGGCCAGCTTGTCAGGTTGTCCGTCCCTGGGGCTGGCCACATCTATCATCCACTGAAGAAGATCGGTCGGTTTCTTATACCCAGGCTCCCCTGAGGCCTCATCAGCTGTGCGTTGTTTCACAATAGGACTGATAATTCGTTTAGCCGTTTGTAAGTCTCGATGAACCGCCCAGTAGCTGGGAAGAAGAGGGGCCACTATGGGGTGTAGGAACTTCGGCAGCCGCCGGAGGATCGCGAGCGTGAGAAAAGCATGTTCCGTGAACCGGATTGATGTGTCAAGCCATTCTTGGTTGCGACAGGTCGGTTGACCTACAAACACTCTCGCCGAGATTCGGGCCACCAGGTGAAGGATGATGTCGTAGATAGACACATCCTTCCAGTCTTCGTGGGTGGATGGAATTTCTTCCGTCATGGCAAACCGAAGCTCCTCTTCGATTGTGCTCATCAGAGATCCCAAATTTGGGGTCAATTTAGTCTGTAAGACATGCGTGTGTAGATTCCCCTCTTGCAGGATATCGATGGTAGAATACTTTCCGAGTAGATTCTAAAGGTAGAAAGGTGATTAGGCTATATTTCAAAGTTTTGCCAGAAGATTAGCCTTACTTTCATATGCGCTTTGATTGCGCTGATGTGCTCTTCCGGCTTAGAGTGCAACTCGTCGACATATCGATTGGGGATGACTAGAATATCGGTGTCGTTTCGAGCGACTTTGAAAATCCCATCATTGAACTAATTTTGGTCAGTTTCCAGAATGCAATTCAATGTCTGCTTTCCAGACCAAGAGGTCAGTTACCCTTTTACAACCCTCCATTAGGTGTTCAAGACCATATTGAGAGAATCGGAGCCCGATCAACCATTTGGGCTCCCATGAAAATCGACGTCCAACGAGCGGCGCTCTAAAGCTTCTAGCGCGCGAAATCCCTTTGTGAATCAAATAGAGGGCGGTCACAGTGATCGAAATTGCCATAAAGACATTGTACCTGGTCAGTAACCCCTTTTCCTGCCATTGAGATGCTAGTTGAAACAAATCGGCGGACCAGGTGTTGGGGTCCATGGCATTGATTTCGTTTGAGAGAAGAATTGAAGACCGACTGCTGCGCTCAAAAAACAGGTCTTTTACGGAGTATGGATTCATTGGCAATGCTTGTCCAGAACACAGCAGCAAGGGACTCGGGGCGATCCGAACTGGTCGCCCCTTGCTTGCCCGATGCTGTAGGATGAGCAAATATATTTGCCACCAATCGTCAGGTGGCCAAGGCACATGAATATCACCTGGGCAGCATATACTGATCTCCAATCCCTATCCGTGCTTCTCCACTACCAACTCCATTGTTGAGGGCGCATCAATCATTTCAATAAGATCCATGACACCCGCGTGGGGAAAAAGTAGCTGATGCCATTTGAGAGCGAGGCTGTGCTTTGCTGGCAACCAAGCAATATCTATCTCCAATCTGCATTCCTTTATGCATAGATGCAGTCATATCATCATTAGCCTTGAGGTATGCCTAATGTGACACCTCCAATCCAACGTCTCACCGAGTTTTTGGCTGCAACTGTTGATGAAGTTCTTCAAGAACCCAATCTGCTCGCCTCAGCCAACCTCCCTGTTGGATCCGATCTCTTGTTCTACATTCTCCGATTTTGCTTTCTGTCGCAACAACATGACTATCGTATCCCCCGACAAACTCCCATCTGCCCGGGCAGTGGAACTTACCGCACCCTTGGACGATATTTATCAGATCCTGAATGAGGACGGGGCTGTGATCATCAAGAACTTCATTCCTTTAGAATTGGTGGACAAGATCAACAAAGAGGTCGATCCATACTTAGCCCAACACGCGGCCGGTCCCAACCACATGTCGGAAATCTACAAATTAACGGTCGGGTCCAAAACCAAGCACATGGGTAATTTGACCATGGCTTCGAAGTCATTTCGGGATGAAGTACTCAATCATCCGTCGATGCATGCTATTTCGGAGAAGCTGTTCCGTGCCAACTTTGGCGACTACTGGTTGAATCGGGCCGCCGTGTTGGAGGTTGATTCCGGCGAAAAAGCCCAAGGCCTCCATCGAGACGACAGTCTCTACCCCTGGAAAGCTTTCCTAACGAAAGATTCGCCAGAACTGATGGTCAATTTTTTCATCGCTTTGACCGAGTTTCGCGAGGAGAATGGTGCGACTAGGCTAGTCCTAGGGAGCCACAAATGGGAAGATTCGACCATGTATCCATCTCCCGAGCAAACTATTCCTGCCGAGATGCAAGCAGGAGATGCGATTGTGTACTTGGCAAGCTTGTTCCATGGAGCAGGGCAGAACCGCTCTCAGAAAACCCGTCGTGGACTGAGCATAACTACGCACCCGGCCCATTTCACGCCCATGGAGTCCCACATTGATGTGCCGCGGGCCATCATCGAGACCATGACACCTCTAGCTCAGAAAATGATAGGCTGGAGAACGTGGAGCACTAATCATGGAGTGCCAGTCTGGACTGTCAGAGACGGGAGGATGGAGGATGAGTTGAAGCTGAAATCCTTGGAGTCGCCCAAGCAAATACAAGCTGCTGTGATCTAGATTTGGATTTTTCAGGCTGTTCACTTTCTTTCAAATCGTTCATTTTCATTTGACGATGAGAACCTTGGTCACCCATCGCATAATTCAAGATATATTGCTCTCGGGACTATTTGAATTACCTTCATGTATACATGGGAAGAACTAAAGCACCATAGAAATTCTGGCGTGCGCAATAACGCAAGGGCTTCTCAAGAAGTATTCCCGACGGAAAAGGGGTACCAGGTTTTTATCCACTGTGAATCTTTAACTACGTGGAGCTCTGTAATTTTTGGTGGGAAAACAAAAGCGAACATGAAAAGAAAAAAGGGGAAGAAATGATAAGAATCACAGCTCTTCTGCAAGGTAGTATAGGTAGACTTGTTATCGGGCGTGAGAAGATGGTATGCAAGGGTTAATATTTCCCACAACTATCAGTATCATGGCGATCATTACTTAGACATCTAACTTTAGCAAGCTCCTTGCCTGCGGTAACAAAGACCGTGAACGGCCTAGGCATCAAATGTGGCGGTGATTTTATTCTCATACATGTCACCTTATATCAAATTAGTATTTTCGTCGACAGGACAATCCGTCCCTAGACACATCTCGCCTTTGGTCAGAGCCTTTGAAATCATTGATATTGGAGTCCTCGTTTAACTGGAGAATAGTAGGTCTTCATTATTTTCTTGACAGCAGATTCGCCTTCTCCCACCCTGACGAGAGGCAACTTCCGATGCCCCAACAACGTGATCGAGCATGGCCAACATTGGAGGTAGCAATGCCGTTTCCTCTGCTCAAGGGTCCCAAATTTCCGACTCACCGACCACAGTCGATGATCGATTAGACGAACACAAGGAGACTTCAACTCAATCCATCGACCACAGCGAAAACATCACACAAAGTCCTACCTCTCTTCCAAAACCACCAGATGAAAGTAACGCAACACCAGTCGGATTCGGCAAGGATGGCTGTCAGTCAGATTCACAGGAGTATCCGAATTCCTGGAGACTTGCCGCTATTATGATCGGGGTGTGTCTCGCTGTGTTCAGTATGGCATTGGTATGACAGCCCTGTATCAATATGATGAGAGTAAATTGTCTAATGCTAATCTCATTATCTCTCAGGACAATACAATATTAGCCACCGCGATTCCAAAGATCACCGATCAATTCACCTCGTTGGGAGACGTTGGCTGGTATGGGAGTGTTTACCCGCTGACGAATTGTTGTCTTACCCTCGTCTTCGGCAAACTTTATACATTTTATTCTACCAAATGGGTGTATCTTTCCGCGCTCGCGGTTTTCGAGATTGGGTCTTTAATCTGCGGTGCAACACCCAGCTCCCTGGGACTGATTATCGGACGCGCCATTGCCGGCCTTGGTTCCAGCGGAATATACTTAGGTTCCATGATCATACTTTCCCAAAGCGTGCCACTGCAGAAACGGCCATTATTCACATCGTTAGTCGGTGGTTTGTATGGAGTCGCCGGGGTAGCAGGGCCTTTATTGGGTGGTGCTTTCACAGACTATGTCTCTTGGAGATGGTGCTTCTATATCAATCCTTTATTTGGTGCAGTCACAGCGCTCTTCATTTTGTTATTCTTCGATGGGAAGGAACCAATCAAGTCTCCTGGCAAGATCAAGGAACAAATTTCGCAGTTCGATCTGATCGGACTTTTCTTCTTCCTCCCTGGTATGATTAGCCTTTTGTTGGCGCTGCAGTGGGGAGGCCAACAATATAACTGGCAAAGCGGGCGTATCATCGGACTCTTTGTGTGTTCTATCTGTCTGCTATCGATCTTCATCGTGGTGCAGTGGCGACAGAAGGAGAAAGCCACCGTCACTTTGCGAATGATCAAAAACAAGAACGTCTGGGGCGCTTCCTTGTTTAATTTCTGTATAACTGGTTCATTCCTCGTCTTTTCTTACTACGTGAGTCTTTTCGCTTCATTCATTAATCTAATTACCATACTGATTGTCATAATCTTCAGCTGCCTGTATGGTTCCAAAGCATCAAAAATGTGTCTGCAACAAAATCAGGCCTGATGAACCTTCCCATGCTCTTAGGGGTAATTTTATGCTCCATTATCTCGGGATATGGGGTTGGCAGGATAGGATACTATACTCCATTCATGTATGCTGCGCCGATTGTGTCCGCGATTGGCGCCGGGCTGCTTTCGACCTTTCAAGCCAATTTTGGGCCATCGCAGTGGATAGGGTACCAAGCCCTTTATGGAATCGGGCTTGGATTGGGGTTATCACAGCCCATAGTGGTCATTCAGGCGGCGATTCCCCTGATTGATATTCCCAGTGCAATTGCAATTGTCACATTCATACAGTCCCTGGGGGTTCCGTGTCAGTTTCGATAGCGCAGAACGTCTTCCGAAACGAGCTCTTACGGGGATTGGCCCAGAATGCACCCAAAGTCGATGCTCACAAGTTGATCACGGCTGGTCCTACTACGCTTCGATATGTGGTCCCAGCAGAACTGTTAGAACGTGTGTTGGTGGCCTATAATTCTGCCATCACCCATGCATTTTACGTCGGGGCCGCGTTTTCCGTACTAGCCATGATTGGAGCGCTGCCGATTCAGTGGATTTCTGTGAAGGGAAGAGAGTAAATCCGCCTCCTACATGATTCTAGAAACACAAGCGCGCAGCAGGAAGTTCAGACAAATTTCAAAAGCTGAATCTAAGATACGAACAAAACAGGCCCATTTCCATATAGAAGTTTGAACCCCTAAATACAAGTAACCTCTATAGCGTAGATGGTTGAATCATAAAATAACATGATATGTAAATTTTAAACTAAAAATCAAACTATAGCCGTCTTATTAGGTAGTTAACTATTATCTAGACCAATGTCAGGGTCAAGGCAGTAGCCAGCTTGGTGCCTGAGGCAACTTGAAACTGTCGCGAATACCTTACGAATACTGCATGAAACCGGGTCGATAGATGATCCGTCGGCATAGCTTATGTAACTAGAATGGACCCATAAATAGTGAGAAATAGGGGTGATGGAAATACAGAGTCATTTACATCTCCAATTGGCCGGATACAGGACAAATCGTGACAGAAACTCCACAGTCGATTGCTCTCATTTACTTTAGTCTTTTTTAAACTTAATCTGTTTAGTCTTCAAATGATTCAAATTCCCAAGTCGCCATGTCAAGTGAATGGCAGCAAGTGCGCACTTATGCTGACCATCTGGGTCACCGCGTGGTGCTCGAGCAGTACGTCACGCCAGACTACAAGCCAGGCCCCGACCACATAATTCCCATCCAGGTCTACAGCCTTGTACCCATGGAAAACGACCCCGAAAACATTATATATAGCTTACTAAAACACCTATGGACTTGAATCGTATGAGAGCCTCATATTTTGATACTCCCCAATTGGGTATGTGGGTCGATTGCCAGATGCTGATAGGGCTATATGACTCCACCTCACTTGGGCAAAGCAATACGATTGGCTAATACTTTCTTAGGTTTCAACTCAATATAAAAAACAACCTTAACTCGCTAAACTGGTCCATGAATCGATTCCAGTGAATGTTTAGCATCCCTGGAAGTCCTAGAGACCTCGAGTCTGCCAGACCTTTTGTAAAGCTTCCAAAGCCACAACAAACATGTGAATGCCGGCAGATCGACCAGATAGCTCAAGCCAGGTAGCAACAGGGAAGCTTGCTCTGATCATAATGGAATCCTCTGGGCTCTCAAATGAAGCAAAGAAAAACAAAGCAAGAAAGGGAAAAAAAAAAAAAAAAAAAAAAACAAGCCTCCCCGTCCATTTGCAGTTGACCTGTTTCGACCTGGCGCGATCTTTTACAACCGCCCCGTAAAGGACAGCTTGGAATACCTCACTATCATACAAGATGACTTAACACACGTCCAGCCAACTAGACCATGGGAGCTTGCTTACCAAAACACATATGGATTTGAACTGAATAGGAACTTCTAACGATTTTTTTGCTTGTATATTTCATAATTAGGCATATGGTTCGGGTGTCACAGGCTGATAAGATCATTTGATTCCACTCCACTTGGGCAAAGCAGAACGTTTGGTCAATGATTTCTCTTGTTTCAACTCAATACAAGCACCCTTAACTCACTAAACTAGTCCAGGACTCGATTCCAATGAGTGTTTTGCATCCCTGGAAGACCTCGAGTCTGCTAGATCTTTTGTAAAGCTTCTAACGCCACAATAAACATGCGAAGGCTAGTAGATCGACTAGATAACTCGGGCCAAGTAGCAATCTTCTCTCTGAGTTATGGATTAAGTGCCTCGCATCCTGCTATAAATCCGGACTAGCAAGTATTCGCAGATTGGTCTATGTGTTTCTGCTTCTTTCTGTTATATTTAAGCAGATAATCTATTATCTGCTGAACGCAGAACTATAATATCGTGGTATTTATATCTCTACCGCTCCGGTAAAAATATACAATTAGTGCTTTGTATATTGCTTAGACAAAGTGGTAGGGAAAGATATCTCTCTAGGGTAAGGGGATGTGGGCGGAATACCCTAAGTTGCCTTGAGGCTCGTACTCCTAAGTGCAAATTCTGTTCTCTAGGTCTTTCACTTCCTCGGATAAACTACTATAGTCTATGTCGGGTGATGTTCCAAACCTCTGTATTTTATTGATCAATACCGATAAGTGCGTAGTTTCGAGGATCAATTTGAATAAGGACTAGGGTATAGAGTAGATTTCCTTAAAAGTAGATTTATAAGGTGTTTCTATATCTAAAGTACTAGACCTAGTCAATAATAAAGAATATCCGATTAGGCGGTCCTAGGTAGAGGTATCTTAAGCTAAGGATGAAATGCTAAGGTCGAGATAGTTTACGGATATAATTGGTTAAGGTCGGCCTTTAATATAAGTTCGCTTAGTTATAACCCGAAGATAAAGATAGATACTATAAAGTATCCGATTGTTTTAGCGACCGCGAAGCTTTGTGAACACTATAGAGATTGATAATCTCCTTACTATCCCGTAGGTAATAAGCCGTATTTTCTATTTTCCCACTAACAACCTACGTATGCCTAAATTAGCGTAAATCCGTGTAATAACGAAATTACTAAACTTAAATAGATAATAACTATACTTAATAGTGCTATCAGAATATCCTTATATTTTTCCTTTTTCCTTTTTTGGCGAGATAGGTCGAAGAGCGACTACTTTAATCGTTTAGTGGCCTTTTCGCGATATAGCTCCCGAAGAGTATTCTAGTCTCAATATTCCTATCCTTACGTCGAGGAAGAGGTTTTATTTTGGCTAAAGGCACTAATTGTAAAAACTATAAATAGAACCTTCGTATACTACAGGACGGCAAGCGAGGGCCATGTTACGGACCTACCAGGCACCAATCGATTATGGGGCCGCAACTTACTGATGGGCCACCGAGAGCCAACCGATCTATCTGTCATCAGATCACGTGCAGTACCTTATACTCCAGACACCCCGAGTATTCAAGGAAAAGAGAAACGTGATCATGCTCAGTGCGCGCTCAGTGAGCAAGAGCATGATCTACCCTGAGCGGACCCACCCCGCAGACTTTATCCCGTACATATGCACATATATAGACAGGATAAAAGTCTGCCGGGTGGGGCCTTTCCTATCTAGGCTATCGCCGCTTTTATGAGGGCGCTCAGGCTCAGGATCACTGAGTGCAGTCTGTGGGGTCTGCGCGCCGGCCGCTGGTCCGCTGGTCGGCCAATCCTTTGTGAAAAAGAGAGTTCACAGGAAGCTTCTGATCATGTCCCTCCATTGGCAAGTAAAACGACTCAGCTTTCAATGCTTCTGCTGACCATTGCAGCCCTCTCCCTCGCAACAGGAAGCAGAGACAAGACATGCCTTGGTGACCAAACCCTTTCAACCTATCTTAAAGGTGCTCTAGCAGACCTCGGACGCGACGATCACAAATTCGCCTTTCCAGCAGATCGACTTGCCATGAATGGTAATAGGATTATCCTATGTTTTGACTGGTTCAACACTCATTTGACGTGTTCAGCAACGATGAAAGCGACTCCCTGCTACACATCCCTTTTTCTATGACTGACTACTGTCATAAAGGCTGGACTGTCAGATTCAGTGGAGATACCAGACTAGGTTTCCTTATTATGGAGGAGCTTGATCACTACTGTTTTATAAATTCATGTAAGAGCCCTTTTTTCATTAATGATTATGAAGGCTCATACACATTTGAAGGGGTGCCTTCCAGCAGTGGTAAGATTCCACGGACATAACAAAGAAATCAGCCCATATCTGATATTGATAAATGAAGGTCACTTTGGAAATCACTTTGAGTCATCCGAGTCACAGATTAAGAACGCTTTCGTAATAAAAGCAGACAAACCAAGGGTAATGGTGTTGCCATCTACGTGCACGTTCAGATGTTCGCCCGGGTTTCTGCCCTTACTCCTTCTCGACCTGCTTCTTGCCATTGAACTGGTTATCGTCAAGCCACTCCATGTACTCAGGGATGCCCTCCTCGATATCACGGAAAGCCAAGCGCGCGCCCTTACGACGAAGGCTGGAAAGATCGGCACAGGTGTAGCTCTGGTATTTACCCTTCAGGTGTTGAGGGAACTGGATGTTGCGGATGTATCCCTCAGGGCTGCCGAAGTGACGAACAACCTGGGTCGCGACCTCCTGGAATGATCGGGCCTTCCCGGTGCCGACGTTGAAAATTCCATCAACTTCAGGGTGATCATAGAACCAGCAGTTCAAGCGAGCCACATCCTCCACGTAAACAAAATCACGCTTCTGTTGTCCAGCCTCGCATCCAGCGTATTCGCCGAAGAGTTCAACCGCTTTGAATTCCGTGCGCTTACTGTAGAACTGATTGACCACGCTGGCCTTGGTGCTTTTGTATTGCTCGCGGGGTCCGTAGACAGTGAAAAGACGGAGGCCAGCTACCTGCATGTTCTTGACAGGTTGTTTGTTCTTGACGACATACCGGTCGAAGAGTAGGTGGCAGTAGCCTTGGGGAGTCAGAGGCGCCTCCTTTACGTCAGTGTCGCTGAAACTTGGGCTAGATCCATACACATCAGCTGAGGATGCGTAGATGAGCCGGATCTTCAAATCCTGGCACCAGTTGAACACTTCCTTGGCGTAGGTAAAGTGGGCATCCATCACGTCGGCGCCATTTTCCTCGGTAGTCGCGCCTCCGTAGTGGTAAACAACGCGAGCCTGGGTGAGGAACAGCTTGTTGCCTCTGGTAGCTCGGAACTCGGTGGTTTCGAAAATCGAAGTCCTGTTGCGGATGGCAGCACGAAACTCCGATGGTGAGATCAAGTCGGTAATCTGGCAATCGGCCAGGTTTCGGAATTTGGCGCCGTCGATCCCAAGGTCATCCACAACCAGGATGTTGCTGTGGCCACGGTTGTTGAGCTCCTTGATTATGTTGGAGCCAATGAAGCTCGCACCACCAGTAACAACAATGATGGTATTGAGCTGGTCAGTGTCAAGCGCAGAGTCAGAAATGGATGGGCTAGGTTGGAAGGGAAAGAGTTCCACCTGCACGGTTCGAATCCTGAGAGTGGAAAGAGTCCCATAGTGTGAGTCGGACATCTCCATGAGCACGTGTGTGAGGCGAAATCGGGCAACGACGATGGTTGAAGGTCTGGAAGGTGCGACTCACACAATGGCCTCATAAGTTTTACTCCCAACATACGGTACTAATATATGGCTATCTGATATATGGTATAATGCGAGTTTCCGCATGGTAGGTTCCAGTACATATTGCTTTGCGAGTCTGGACAATTCACAGCTATTTCTGAATCTACACATCTCACATATGATGCCAGAATATCACATTGAGTAAGAAGGCGTATTTTTGAAACAGGTAAAGCAATTCTGAGGCGTAGACGGCGCCAAAGAGCGTGGAGCCTTCCTGTCTTGCAACTTTTAAGCTGTATTGTTTGGCTGTTCTGGGGTTCAAAGCACCTCACCTGGGATTAAAAGAGAAAAGATGTACAATACACTGGTATGAGCTCAGCAAAGCTCCCATGCAACACGTTATTTCTGGGGACAAGAAACAATCGCGAGCCAATTTCCACAAACCTAAAGCTACACCAGGATGATGATAGGTGACACAAGAGTCAACACAAAGATCAAAAGTTCAACGCTTCAAAAAAAGGAGAGGAGGAAAAATGAAGACACCCCACCGGGATCTACTGGGGCGATCTCTAGGAATCGAACCCGCTCTCGCTGCAAGGTACGGCATAAAACAGTTAATTGTCTTGTTTTATCACTAGCTTATTCAGCCAGGTGTTAGAAAGTAAGGGTAACTTAACTTGTCGATAAAGATACTTTCTCGATTAGGAACGTGGGTACCTGACCGATCACGTCTTAGAGATCCCCGGTTTTTGCCTCAACTTGGTGCCTTGATACTATGGCTTTGATTCCATAACGTAATTCACATGCGAGCGGCCCACCCAAGCGAGCGGCCCAGCTCAAAACGCCATACTAAATGGGATAAATTACAACTTGATATCTCAACAACGGTGGTGTGTAAGAACTTCGCATTATAGCCTAATGCTTTTTATGTTGATATTTAGCCTATTTAGGGACTTTGGAGAATTTCTTGGACTTAGTGGTTAAGATATTTATATTTCTGGCTCACAGCAACGTAATTTTCGATATCATGATATTGCAGCCTATGAATTTCCTTGAAGCTGATATATAGCATTGAAAAGACTTATTAATGGCTATCGACGAGCAATAAGGTAAATTGAAAACGTGGTTGTTAAGATATCAAGTTGTAATTTATCCCATTTAGTATGGTGTTTTGAGCTGGGCCGCTCGCTTGGGTGGGCCGCTCGCATGTGAATTACGTTACTCTTCATCTTTACTATACTCAACGCTACACGGGTTATAGCTGGTTTTGAAGCATAGGAGGCAATTCCACCACAGAAAGGCTTCTACACAGTAGCTAATATCTTCGGTCTATGTTGCTCTGCATTCAACACTCCCCACCTATGATAAAAGATATGGCGCTGCCTGTAGAACAAAAGCTAGAAGATACTTTGGAGAGGGTTATTCTCATGATCCTCCTAGGCCCTTCACTCTGCCTTATAGTGAATATAGCCGGGCTTCACCCGTCACGTTTCTAGATTGAAAGTTTACCAGCATATCCCTCTGCCCACCCAAACCAAATCTTCTACCTCTGGTCAACTCACCAACCTCCATCCCACCACCAAGATGATTACCCGCAAGAAACCATCAATCATAATCCTAGGAGACCTAATCCTGAACCAAGATCTCCACGGCAAAGCATCCCACCTATCCCCAGATGCCCCAGTCCCTGTCCTCGCACAAACAAAGATAATCTCCACCGTCGGTGGCGCAGCAAACATCGCCAAAAACCTGGCCGCCCTCGAAGCAAAAGTAACACTAATCGGAATAACCGGCCAAGACGCCCAGGGCCAAGAAATTCGCTCAATCCTGCACGACTGTGGCATCTACAATATCGCCCTCGTGTACGATGGACGCCCTACAACATCCAAGACCCGCATCCTCGGTAACGAACAACATATCGTCCGCATCGATCGCGAAGATACGACGTCAATATCGGATGAATGCCAAGATAAAGTGTTAGAGATTGTTCGACGATGTCTGCCAAGTGTCGATACTGTCCTCTTGGCTGACTGCGAGAAAGGATTCTTTAATCCAACATTGCTCGCCCAGATCATAGGGTTGGCCGGCGCGGCGGGGAAACGGGTTCTTGTCGATCCTTCCGGGTGGGACTTTGCTCGGTACAGTGGGGCGAGTGTTCTCCTGCCTAGTCTTGTGGAATTGGGTCGTGCGTTTGGGACTGAGATTGCGATTGATGATGCTGTTCTTGTTGATCGTGCGGCGCGGTGTGTACTTCTCTCGACTGGAGCTGAGGCTGTTGTTCTTTCTTGTGGGGAGAAGGGTGTCTGGGTCTATCAGAGGGGGATGAAGACTATCATTCCGGCGGTTGAGTGTGCCGTTGTCGACGTCAGCGGGGCTGAAGATAGTCTCGTTGCGGCTTTTACGTGGATCCTATCGCGCGGTGATACTATTCTTGACGCGGCTGTGATCGGCAATCTGGCTGGTGCTCTTGCTGCGTCGAAGGATGGGGGTGTCTCTATTACCTCCGCGGAGTTGAAGGTGTATGTTGAGATACCTGAGCCGAAGACCTCTAGCAAGATTGTCAGCCGACTGGAACTGGTGGAAAAGATCGCGCATGCAAAGGCGGCGGGGCGTCGCGTAGTTTTTACTAGTGGATATTTCGATCTCCTCCACTCCGCCATCGACTTACTTCAAGGGGCGAAAGCAATGGGCGATCTTCTGGTTATTGGGCTCAATTCCGACGACCGTCGAGTCGGGGCAGGCGGACCCATCGTTCCTGAGCTGCAACGGGCCAAACTGTTAGCCGCGCTAGGCTGTGTTGATTATGTGGTCCCATTCACCGAGGAAACGCCGTTGGCACTTATCGAGGCCATCCGACCCGACATCCTCGTCCAAGGTGCAAATTAAAACACTGAGCTGATGACGAATTGGTTCCTAACTACTCTGAGATTATCGAACGCCACTGGCTTGTTAAGCCATGGTTGCTGTCAGGGGAGGGGGTGGGAATTCGGAAGATAGGAGATTTGCGATGCACCGGCATATTTCATGCAGTGACCTGTCCAAACGGAGACAATAATTGAAGACTCCTTGCAATGATCCGATCAATATTCAATAGTTCAATAGAGTTGACTACATATGACAGCTGAAATTCCTTCCATGCAATGAAGATCTCCGCCTTATCTTGTTAGTAATAAAAGTCCAGAGATAAGCCAACAGCCCTAGATTGGCTGAAACAATGAGGCTTTGAACAATGTCCTAGTGATCTATTCACTACACTTCACTCTACACACTACACTGCACTATATTCATATGATCTTTGCGCTATTGGACACTTCCCCTTGCCGTTGAGATAAGCCTTCTCTACACCAGTAGGCGTCCGTATACACCACTTCCAACCGAGGTATTAAGGTTAAGCTGACAGAGATAATAACGTCCGGAGCTCCGGTATACACGTCTGCTTATATTGACCGTGTGTCTCCCCGGCGCCATCCCAATGCATATGCCCACACCATGTCTCAACACGCAGAGACCTCAACCTCACTATGGTGGCCCGAAGAGCGCATCAAGTCCACCCTGGACACAAAATACATAGTCAGCCGCCTGCGACAAGAAAATATTCCGCGGTTGTTTGAACTGCCGCGATGGGGTGAGGGGTTGACCAGTGAAACATATATGGAATACATCCTGCTCAAGGCTGGTCGTCTCTTTCTCATTCTGGATGCTATCGGGATTCCCGATCGCATCTTTGCGCTTGTCGATGAGTCGTGTGATGATGATGATCTGCCCATTGCGGAACACAGTGTCGATCTCCTCCGGCTTTGTCCCCATGGGGAAGATATCAACCTCGATACCCGCTTCTTCCATGCGCAATGGCGGTTTTTGGTCCGCGGCATTGGAGAGGGTGACCATGTTGTCTATACTGAGAATGAGGGTGTTCCTGTTGAGGTAGTGCGCTCTCATACTAGCAGTGGACTGCATGGTCGGGATGACACCGTCGACAAGGTCGTCCTCGCCGGTTCGGTCTGTCGAGTCTATATGCGCACTCAAGTGCAGCTCGGCGGCGCACCTCACTTCTTTTCCTCCAACGAGGTCCTTGCTGAGATCCGCAAGCTGAGAAATCTCTCCCACGAACACCTCATCTCAGTCTATGCCTCATACCTCAAAGACGACAGCGTGAGCGTGCTCTTTACCGGCGCCACAGCAGATTGGACCCTGCACAGCTTCCTGACCGACGAGCCTTCAGCCTTCAAACGGCTGCCTAAAGAGCAACGCCGCCAGACCCTGATCACCTGGCCTCACTGTCTCGCCTCAGCAGTCTCCTGGCTTCACGCCCGCGGCCACTCCCACGGCGCAATCCGGCCATCAAACATCTACATTGATGCCAACTACCACATCTCCCTAGGCCAATTCCAAGCTCTAGACTCCCTCCTAAGTCCTCCACATGTCAATGACCTCGAGGCATACAACTACTCCGCACCAGAGCGCTGGGTCCGACCTTCTGCACCAGCAGCGCCCCAGAAGCCACCACCACCCACCCAAACCCTCCTCCAATCTGGCGGACGAACAAAACGCAGAGCAAAACCAGCCCGGCTAGCCCTATCCCCTCTAAACGAAAGCCCACCCTCCTCCGCCGAAAATCCACGCCCAGACTCAGCAACATCAAAGGGAACAGTCATCCGCATAGGACTACCAGGCTCACCATCCCGCTTCTCCTTCGCCTTCTCCTCATCCTCCTCCTCGGCAGGATCATCATCAGCATCATCAGCAGCAACAGACGCAACAGCGAGTCCAAACACAAACCAATCAACCACAAAGAAACTCCGTCCATCTTTCTGGCCCCTCAAATCAAGAGCAAGGACCTTCATCTCCTCCTCCTCAACCTCCTCCTCTTCAGCCTCCTCAACAAACATCTCAATCCCCCCTTCCTCCCCTTCAACAACATCCTTCAGCATATCCCCAACAAATACCCTCCACCCCCGGTCCTCTTCCCTCCGCCACTCCACATCAGCCCAATCCCTCGCCCCATCTTTCCGCCCTCCAACACCCCATTCCACAGCAGCACCCTCAACCTCAAATTCCCTCCCACAAGACTCTCCAGCAGACCTCTTCTCCCTAGCAGCTATAACACTAGACATCCTAACAACCCTCCACAAAAGAACCCTCACATCCTTCTCGACACACCGCGCAGCACGCAACAGATCAGCAGGCCGCGGCGGCGGGATGGCAGATGCATCCTTCCACCTATCTCGCAACGCCGTGCAGGTCCAATCGTGGATTGCGTTGCTGGAGGGCGATGCGTTGAAGAGGTGTCGGCGGGATAGGAAGTCTGATCGGTGTTTCTGGGCGGTTCCGAGGATTCTTATTGTTGTTCGTGCTATGCTTGATGGGGATGCTGGGAGGAGGCCGTCTGCGAAGAGGGTTCGAAGGTGTTTTGGGGGAGCTGTTAAGATTGGGTTTGGGGGGGTTCATTGTGGGAAGAAGGGTGAGAAAGGTGATGGTGGGAAGAAGGAGAAGGAGAATGATGGTGGTGGTGGTGGTGGTGGTTATGGAAGGAATCTGGAGGCTATTGGCGAAGAAGGTGGTTCGGGATCTGGGTTCGGATCTTCTGCTTCTGTTGCTCCTGCTTCTATTGCTCCCTCTATTTTCCCTTCTGAGGCGGCTTCGGACTTTGATTTTGGGTTTGAGGATACGGCTAGTGGCACTGAGAGTGAAGATGAGACTGAGCATGAGCGGGAGAAGGGACCTCAGGTGAAGATTCAAGTTGAAGAAGACAGTGATGGGGATATTCCAGAGGATGAACCTGAGATTCGAGTTGATCGGGTTTCGCCTCAGTTGTATTTGCCGGATTTGGATGTAAATATTACTGGGTTTGAGGGGTTGACGTTTAATCGTTAGGGATTTAGTGATTCATGTTTATGTTTATGTTTATGTTGGGGGATGTACGATTACGTCTTTCGAGGACACCTGCTTGACAGCAATAATAATTCATTTGTGTACACGTGAAAGACAGACCTGGTAACATAACCTGTATGTAGACACCAAAGACGCCAACTGCTTCCATATAACGTTAATGCAGTAGTTCACTGAACTGGTCTATCGGAAAATTCATGTATGCATATCAATACAACTCGCAATGTGGAATCACAGCCAAAGGGCAAGGGCACCAAGCATCCCGGAGAGCACAATAGAACCGGCGAGAAGACGCTCGGTGATGGGGGAGCTGGCGGTCACTACGAAAGCGGCACCCTCCTTGGTCGACGAGGCGGCAGCAGAGGAACCAGTGCCACTGGCGCCGCTGGTTGTGGCGCTGGAATCGGAGCCTTTCTTGTAGGTCTGGCCCAGAGTGGGGAGCGGAGAGCTAGGATCCACATTCCAACCACCAGAGGTCGAGGCAGGGCACTCAATTGACAGGCCGGTGGCCGACTTCTTGTAGTCGGAGAGGGCAACACCAGTCGGGTTCAAAGTGGCCCATTGAGACTTGAGATTAGCAAAGTCAGGTGACACAGGGGTTGGGGTACCCTGGCGAGTGAACCCATCCTCGATCGAGGTGGCAGTGGCGGTAGCAGGCTTGACACTGGGGCCATAGCTGATCAAACCGTAGTTGTTGGCCTCTTCCAGCCACTCGTAGATGATGGATCCGGACCAAGTATCAGCCATCTGGTCCCCAAAGATCGCGGCCTGGTCATCAAAGGTACGAGGCTTGGGGGTGTTGCACCCGGTCTCGGAGAAGAAGATGGGAATGGGGTAGTCAGTCGCGTTCTTCTGCAGCATGTCGTAGCCGGACTGTTGGTAGCTGGAGTCACCACACCACTCATAGGCGTTGAGGGAATAAAAGTCCAACCGCTCAGACGCATTCGTGGAGCAGCCGAGGTAGTTCTGGAGCATAGGTCTCAGATCGGGGATGTCGGCAGCGGAGTAACCCACGGGGATTTCGCGATATCCCTTCTTATCGCGGTACGCCTTGATATCGCGGGCAGCGGCCAGGACGTAAGGAGCAGCGGCGGAACCCTCAGCCGTGGTGAGGACTTCGTTTCCAACAAGGACACCGGCGGTGTTCTCATACTTCTGGAACTCATCGAGCACCGCCTTGAAGCGATCAAACTGGGTTTCATTCCAGTGGGGGAAGTCTGTTCGATCTGTGTGGAGAAAGTGTCCAGATCCACCCAGAGGTAGATACCGGCATCGGCCAGAGCTGTCATGCAACCCTTGTGGTTGGCACTGGGATCGACATGGTACACACGGATAGAATTGGTGCCCAGCTCGGACATGCGGGCGATGTCGCGCTTGCATTGGGCTGTGTCAACAAGCGGGTCCGAGGGGGTCAGCTGATAAGCAATGCCTGTCCGAGTCAGTGATGTTCTCTAGTCCTGTGGAGGTGTGTTACCTTTGATGTAGAACTGAGTGCCGTTCTCATAGAAGAACTTAGACCCGACAGCCGAGATGGTCGGGACGGCGTTGACTGTGGCGGCCTGCAGACCAGCCAACAGGAATGGCACCGAAAGTGCCAAGGAAGACAACATGATTAATTTGTAAGTTAAGTGGTGTGGAGTACTCTGTAGAATTGGATCAAAGTAATTAAAAGAAGAAGAGTCCCCTCTCAAATTATTTCAATTGACCTGAAAGAGAAAACGGCAGGAACAATCAGGACAGGAACGAAAAACAGAAACTTCGGGGTGAACTACGGAAATGAAAGCCACTGCAATTCCTTGATTTGGGCCAAATTACCTGCAGGGTTAGCCTAGCGTGCTTCATTCTTCCCATTCATACCAGAGTAACATGCCAGGGATAACTATATGGATATCAAATGTGAACAGTATTCATTCCATTAGCAATTAGCAATACGCAAAGTAAAACATAAAATTCAATGGAATTATGGATTGATTTGTTGACAAAATCCCCAAGTAGTA